GAGGACAAACAGCTTCAGCTCACAGGCAGAATCTAGGATGCAGGATCATACCAGCCCACGTCTGCTGTTAGAACATCCACCTGGACTGGCCTCACCCCAATGGGAAACGAGGTCACAAGCTCATGGTTGGTGAGAAGCTGGCTTCTCCTAAATTAGGTTAATTTTTTTTACAAGAAAATCTCAGACATTCCCTCTAAAGATCTGCAGTCTACTCAGAAAGGAAAAGGGAGAAGTCCCATCAAGCCCCACAGAGAGGTGGGCTGAGAAAGTCCTGGAGTGTGAGATAATCTCAGAAGGAGCATCTTGGAGCAGAACCTCACTCTCAGCCCATTGCCCGTGGACGGCCCGACGAGGTACAGAGATGTGGGTCTGTCCTTTCCACGCCCTGGAGGAGTGAGACTATTTGGCTTGCTTCGCATGGTGGCCGTGTGTTATGGCACCAAAATCATTCAAAGACCAACATGTTTATGCAGTTAAAGACACTCTGGTTTTTATAAATTTCCTTTTGACACTTGGGTCTCTTTATTATCATTAATCAGTGGTATGTTAGTTGCCTATAGCAGGAATGCATCTAATCCGTTTTCACTTCATTAAATGCACATCAGAAAACAGATGTGAATTGTTCACGGAGGGGTGGGCAGAGGGTGCATTCCCCCTGGGCGCAAGTGAGAAATGAGGTTATCATCTATAGAAAACACAACCACAGGCAGGCCTTTACATGCCAAGAAAAAGAGCCCATCTCACTAATCACTCCCCAGGACAGACACAGAAGACATGGGTCAGGTGCGTTGCAGGCGACCAGTGGCACTTCCGATGCCTCCAAAACCTCTCCCAGAGTCTGACTTAGACTACAGCTTCCCTGGTCAATGTAATGTCGACTCTCCCAACAACGGGGACCAAGCACTGAGAGAAAAGGAATAGGTAAGTCTGAGCCCCACGATGGGAAGCATGGTGGTAGAAGCTCTTTTTGGCAGTTAGACTCTGGGAGAACATTCCAGAAACAGAAGACGGTGCCACCTTCACGCTCTGTAATGGCGGGCGGACAGGGCCAAAGGGACCCACACACCAGCCTCTGGTCCCACTTCCTTAGGGAGTTGCCAGCGGAGGCCGTTCCTCCTAAATCTCCAAACCATCTTATTAGGTCAAGGTGTTCCCAGAGGACTCTTATAGATGAACAAAAACTCAATAGGGGAAAGTTAGATAATCTTCAGTATTGATTAGCTTTAAGAAAGAATTATGCTTATATTTTGTATACTGATTAGTGACTTCAAAGAACATACACCAAAGTTATTTGTTAATTCAATCAGACTCCCCAACCTGGTTTGTGGTTGTTGTTAACGTGTCATCGAGTCCCTTCCAACTCATCGCGACAATATGTACAAGAGAATGACACACTGCCTGGCCATGTACCATCCTCACAGTCCTTGTTAGGCTTGAGCCCATTTGTCTGAGTCATATAGTGCTGCTGTAACAGAAATACCACTAGTGGATGGTTTCAATGAAGAGAAGTTTATTTTCTCACAGTCAAAGCAGGCTAAAAGTCCAAATTCAGGACGTCAGCTCCAGGGGAAAGCTTTCTGCCTCTGTCGGCCTTCTTCTCTTCAGTGTTCCCCTGGACTAGGACCTTCTCTGCGTAGGGACCCTGGTCCAAAGGATGCGCTCTGCTCCTGGTACTGCTTTCTTGGTGGTATGAGGTCCCCCACTCTCTGCTTGCAGGCCACACCCCAGGGAAACTCCCTTTACATTGGATCAGGGATGTGACCTGGGTAAGGGAGGTGTTACCATCCCACTAACCCTCTTTAACATAAAATTACAATCACAAAATGGAGGCCAACCACACAATTCTGGGAATCATGGCCCAGCCAAATTGGTACACATGTTTTTTGGGGGACATAATTCAAACCATGACACCATTGTTGCAGCCACTGTGTCAATCCATCTCCTTGAGGGTCTTCCTCTTTTTCACTGACCCTCTACTTTA